TTTTTTCATTTTTGGTATTAATGCATTTGCCCCACCCCTTTATTGTTATTTTAGATGCATCTTTGTGCTAGCTTGTCATATTTGCAATTCATTTGGATAGAGTATCGTATTGAATATGTATCCTCCAAACAGGACGAGCTTTCTTAATTCTTTGCTGTATCTTTTGACACGTGTCGTTAATTTTTAATCAACTGCTTTCAGGAAGCCTTGTTCGGGCTATAAGTTAAAGGAGATGACGGGCAGCAAAATATTTGCTGCCAATGGTGAAGAGGAGTCAACAGAATCCGGAGCTTCTGATGGTAACCCGACCAATCGAACTTCAGTCCGCATTGTCCAGGTACTTCATGCCCCTTTTTAACATTTATTATATTTTAGTGCTATATTCTCATTTAATACAAGAACTCAAGAAGAACTAAAACTTTATACTTCTTAACACTAGCAAGCTGCAAACGGGATTAGTCAGATCTCATTCAGCACTGAAGAAAAAATCTCTCCTAAGAAACCGACCACAATCCCTGAGGTGGCGAAACAGCGTGAGCTGAGTGGGACCTTGCAAAGCGATTCGGACAGCAAAGCTAAAAAGCAGCTTTCGGATGCTAAGTGCAAGGAACTCAGTGGGACCGACATTTTTGGCCCACCTGCTGAGATCCCTCCTCGCTCATTAGCTGCTTCACGTACTCTTGAGACTAAAGAAATCAAGGACATGGGTGAACCCGCGCCACGTAGTGTCCGCACGTCTGTCAAAGTTTCTAACGTAAGTTTCGATTATCTTCCCCAAGTGCCATTTTCCTTATTTCTTTTGTGTGTTTTGGTTGTTTCTTTTCTCAAAATAACCTTCTATCAATAACACAGGGGGTTATTAGTTAGTAGTTATTACCATATAAACTAGACTGCACTTTTTGAAAATCAGTATATCTAAATACAGAAAACTTATAAGCTAACTAAATAAACTATAAGCTGCAGCCATAGTTCTTCGAACAATCTGGATTTCTCGTAAATACACACACATATACACCAGAACTAAATGAATAAAACCAGTAAGCTCTTGTATATGCTTTTCGTAATCTTGAAAGTGTACATTGAAGCTCAAGCTTATATTTATATTTATTTATTATCTGTTTCTAAAGCCTGCTGGGGGGCACAGTAACATATTGTTCGGGGACGAGCCGGAGGTGAAGGCCACGAAGAAAATCCATAACCAGAAATTTGCCGAGCTTAGTGGGAACAACATTTTCAAAGGGGATGTGGGCCATGGGTCTGCCGAGAAGCCCCTGAGTGTGGCCAAGCTTAGAGAAATGAGCGGCAGCGACATTTTTGCAGATGGGAAAGTCGAGGCCCGAGATTGCTTGGGTGGGGTCCGGAAGCCGCCTGGCGGCGAAAGCACCATTGCCTTAATTTGACTTTTTTATGGCTCGGTTTTACTTAACGAACGCTGAAAAAAACGTGTGCTCTTAATTATTATGTTGACTAATTCTGGGGTGTGCCGGATAATGTATGAAAATTGAAAACCTTGGAGCCATTTTGTTGAACTGGATTTATTCAACTTTCTTGTAGCTTCTTCTTCGACATTTTTTGCTTTAAGTCTTGTTATGAGATTTGCAGTTCCTTCGTAGTTTTGTTGATAACTTATGTAATCAGCATTTGTCGGAAAAGAGAAGGAGCATAAATTCTTAGCAATGGGGAAAAAAAAAAAAATTAACTTTGTCGACTCCGCTGGGGATCGAACCCAGAATCTCTGGTTCCGTAGACCAGCGCCTTATCCATTGGGCCACGGAGTCCGTTACATTTAACTTTATCATAGTTTCTTAAATAAAATCAAATATATAAGCAGCTTAAACAAGAATACTGGTTTTGAAGTTCTTACCCCTCCCACCTACTATTTGTTCGTCGATCGTCGTCATTTGCATTTTATCATATCGGAGAAAAACAACTGTACCTGAAACAAGTAAAAAGCTCGCGTCCGGCAGCAGATTGTGCCGGAAAATGTAGCAGAGACTGAAACATCATCTCATGATAAGAGTTAAATAGGAAAGATAGATAATCGAGGCATCATAAAAAAGAAAATGGGGAGAAAGCAGGATGAAC